AATAGAAATAAGGAGAGAAAAAGACACATGAACATTTTCTTTATAAGGACTATAATATCTCAATGTTCAAAACAGTCTACATAGCTAACCTAAAAAGTGAAAAATAAGCAAATAATTGTATATCCAATTTTAAAAATTGTGAAAAAAAAAAGAAAAAGAAACTGAGGGATGTAGCATAGTGGTAGTGTTTGCCTCATCTTTAAGGCCTTGTGTTCCATCCCCAGCACTACCAAAAAAGTAAAACACCCAAATAAGAGACTTGAGTGTGACTATCTGGGTTAAAACCTTACTCTGCACTGGCTGTGTGGCCGTAAGCTAGTTATTTATGCTTTGTGTGCCTCAGTTTCCTTATCTGTTAAATGATCTGAACCCAGTTAACTATCTTCATTAGGCTTTTGTGAAAATCAGTTGAGAGAATATAAAATTGCTTAATGATCCTTTGGCATGTAGTAAACACTCACCATGTGTTAGGAATGGTAATAACTTTGATATCTGACATAGCTTGCATAAAACAATAGTTTCTGGATGGAACAATGTTTTTTACTTTCTTCATTGCATCATGTTGTATTTTCCAAATGGAAAAATCAGGTAAATAACATGTTTTGTGATTTTTTTTTAAAGCATCAATAAAAACAAGGGATACCTAGTATTTAAATGTAATTACATGTGAGAATATACAGAATTATTTGGCACATTGCCTCAATGACACACAAGAGTTATCCCAAACACTTGCTGGGATGGCATTGTTGGGTGCTCACACCCCTTCCTTTATTATTGGTAATTTCTTCCCTATTTTCTCTCACTGGAAAAATTCCACATTAGTCACCTGCCCAGAGGCCAACTTATTGAAGTTGCATTCTCAATAAACTTTGGATTTTTGAGGGAATTTAATGTGATCATTCAAAGAATGAAAACACTCTAAAAAGCTTTGGTGCTTTACATGTAGTAAGTGTTCTAATTTTCAAAGAATAACTTCTAACTATGCATCACCACCCCTGTAAAACACTGTGTACATTCTTGAGGCCTCCACCATATTTAAAGATTCATATTCCTTTCAGTTATATGGAAGCGGAGAAGCACCTTTTTAATAATTCAGTTACAGCCTGGACCTATCATAATGTTCTGCATCATAAGTTTTCAGGAGAGACTATCAGAACAGATGTCAAACAAAACTTCAGTAGAGTTAACCTTGCATTCTAATTCTTGGCCACAAGGCCTAAAGCACAGGAGGACTCCACATCTTAGAATACAAATGCACGCTGTTATTATTATTAAGTTGACAAGATATACTGTACATATTTTTGCTCTAGATCAGCAGTTCTCCAGTGTAGTCTAAAAACCAGCCGCCTCAGGGCAACCTGAGAATTTGCTCTGGCAATGCCCTGACTAGAATCTGAGAAATCTAATTTTGGAGTACTCCTTCTGATCAGACATTTCCCTAGAAATGTGAACCAATTAAGAACAAAACATCTAGCTGTTTATTAAGCACTAGGATAAAAACATGTAGGCAAAAAAAGTTTTGGCTATCGGGATAAAGTTCCCCGGGGAAGAAAAAGAACCTTATACAAGTTTCATTCATCTTGCTCTTCCCTAATTAATTGGACAATTTGATTAGATATCAAGAAGTCACCAACCCATGGGCCCATAGCAGAATGGAATGTATGTTGTTTTGGGGTTGTTTTTTGGGGGGGGGCAGAGGGTGTTTGGGGGGCAGGAGGCCTGGCGACTGAGACCAGTGTGCACTCTACAACTGAGCTACACCCACAGTCCTTTTTATTTTGAGACAGAATCCCACGAAGTTGCTGAGGGTATCCTTAACTTGAGATCCTCCTGCCTTAGCCTCCTAAATTGCTAGGATCCCAGGACGGAACCACCAGCCCTGGCAGAGCAGAGTTTAAAAGAGCACCACTTAATTAACTTCTCATCATGATAGAAGCAGCAGTCTCTTGGTGGAATGAAACCATGTACAGTTAAGGCTCCAATGCCTCTCTGTGGTCTGTTGGAAAGCTCTGGGAAAGTCACACCATATAAATGAAACGGCAATTATTCATGTACCTGTTTGAATAGTCTTCAGCTTTGAAACAGCTGCTGCTTACCAGTCATGCCATCTTAAAAGAGTTAAACATCAAAAATACCATCACTTAACCACAAAATACCTCCCATATCACTTTGTACAGGAACTTAATGCTAATTATCATGCTGATAACAGTTTTTGTCCTATGAAGTACAAAAAATAACTAGCTATAAAGAAAGTGTTAGCAAACCAATCTTAACTAGGATTTTTTTTTTTTTTTTGCTCAGTTTCATAGAAGAGCTATGTGGTAGAAACCAACACACAAGGTGTAAAGACTGAGAGAGGTTAAAAAAAAATCAAGATATATAATTTGCTGATAAAAATAATGAGGAAAGTATTTACACAAATCAGTGAAAACAAACTTATTGATATACCTACAATATTACATTGCATGGTATGTAAGAGAATTGTGCACACTGTAAATATTTAAATTAAATGAAGAGGAAACTTGGGAGAGTTAGGGGAAAACACACACACACACACACACACACACACACATCACTCTTAACATGTAAAAGAACACAGAGCCCATAGTAAAACCAGAACTTAATTCTATGTCCTTTGAGCCTATGGGGACATTGCTTCCCTGAGATTTGGTTAGTTTTTAGGGACAATAATACCATTTTTTCCTGAGATTTTTATATGTAAAACTGCCTAGCAGCATAGTCCTTGACACACAGAATGACCAGTGTCCCACTGACTCAGAATTGCTGACTCCTACTTTGTACTCCATGTTCAAGACCAAGGGTACTGGAACATCTGGCACATGGGTTCTCAACAATCACATGATCCCAACCTTCGGAGGGAGAGGAGAGGCAACTGCTCACGCCACAGCTCAGGAAAAAAATCTTCCCACTCGTGCCCTCTAATAGCAAGACAACCACCACTCATGTTCCTGCTCACATGCCCACTTCTGACCCCCAAGACCCTGAAAAGCAGGCACAATTTTTTTTTTATCATTTTCACTAAGTAAGAAACAAGTGTCTGGCCCATTTTCCAATATTCTAAATTCCATGAACAATGGGCCTAGCTTGCATTAGAACACCTCATACAAGACTGCTGCCATCAAGCCAGTCTCCCATCCAAATTCAAATGGAAGTGATTTCATTAGAATGAAGACAATCTATGAAGTCAGGCACAGTAGCGTATGCCTATAATTACAGCAAATCAGGAGGCTGAGACAGGAGGATCGAGTTTGAGGTCAGCATGAGCAACTCAGTGAGACCTTGTCTCAAAATAAATAATAAAAAGGTGCAGCGGTGTAGTTCATGAACCCCTGGGTTCAATCCTCAGTACCAGAAAAAAAAAAAGTATGAATTAAGATTCTCAGAAAAACCCTATTAGAAAAAGAATACCTGAGGCTAGAAAACTGTATATAAAGCATGAAGGAAATAAAGAATGCCCCCACCCCCAACAAAAACAAGACCATTTCTTTACCCGGAAACATTTTCAATGTGCCTCCCCTTCTCGGCGGGCTGTGGTTACACAACAAGGAACCAACACTTCTCAGTCTACCTTTTGGCAATCTGCCCTGGGACTTCATCTCTGCCAGTGGACTGGCAAATGGAAGCAATGAAATAAATCCTTTCCCTAGACATCTGTTTCGTCTCCACTGCTGCGATCACACAGCCACATTGTTGCCTTGAGTCCCTGGGTTTTAGATGGGAGAGAAACAAATCCTTGTGGCCTTTAGTCATTTAGAGTTTGTTAGCCCTCTGTCACGGCAACTGAAACTTTAACTTACAATTAGAGAAAACCAGAAGGCAGGTGGAAGAGAGAACAGAAAAAGTCAATGCTACATTAATAAGCCACCTAAATCTGGAGCATAAAAATCGACTTCATTATACAAGGAAGGGGTGAGAGAGAAATCAGCTTTAGTAATTAGGGGTTTGCCATTCACTTAGTGAAAAGTGAAAATATTTAATACACTTTGTACATAAATATTTCTTTTGGCAAAAAGCAAACAAAGTAACATTTTTAAATATAAAAAAGGCCTTAATGACAAACGAAAAATATTAAGACAAACTGCCAACAACTTGCTGCATCATAAGAAAATAAGAACATTAAAAATTCCTTAGGTGCTATTTTTAAATAGCTAGGAAAACTGGCTGAAAATTATTAGCCTTTCTTTTCTAAAATACAACAGTAAATAACAGGTACATGAAGAATAAGTCATGTAGCCTTTCCAGGGGGAAACATGCTTGGCAACTTATGAAAAGCCTATGGTTACAGATTTCATCTAATCAAATTAGTAAAACCTCGTCCACAAAGATAAAGACCAAAGAATAATGACAGATTGCAATGGCTGGAAATGCAGGGATAGCCTTAATGAGAGAGTGGGGCTGAGTGCTAGATATGGCTGGATTAAGTAAATTATATAATAGATTAAATAAGTATTAATGAAGTTGAAGCAGGTCAGCTTTCCACCTTTCTTTTATGGGGAAATGAGCTCTCTGAGCAGCATAAATTATAATATGAAACCCAAGTCACCTAACATTTTTTGAAATGTGAAGCTTATGAAGACATAAAAATAGAGATTTGAAAAGATGGAACTTTCCAGAGAAAAGAGATATTCTGCCGTCCAATGAATCACCAGGAAAAAGTAGACCTTAACTTGTGACCTTGAAGCACAAGAGTTTCATAACAACAAACAAAAAAGACTCTTGAAGAGTAAGCAACTATAGTTTCCTAAATTAAACTGCCATTAATATACCTTCAGTTGCTCCCGCTTCTTACTCGAGTTTCCAGAAAGTCAGAGGCGTTTGATGGGTTCTGTTTTCACGAGCAGGAGTCCACAACCAAACGCACGAAGAAAGAAACACATTTTCAAACTTCTGCTACAAATGTATGGACTCTACTTATCAAACCCACGTGGATGATCCCAAAGCTTTGATTAACAACAGTAAATAAGGAGAAGGAGAACCACTTATTGGTACTAAAGGCTTTACTGTATTAAACCAAATATATTTACAATTTATACAAATGTTTAACCTTCAACAAAAATACAAAAAAACATTTCACAAGATGCAAAACCAGGAAACAAGTTCATTGGAGACACCACTGCTCTACAAAGGACGGAACGCAAGGTGAAGTGCAAGGACAGGAAGGAAATCTCTCTCAGGCCAGGTGTGGGCGACAGATCCTCCAGCGAGACGAGAACCGGCTGCAGCTCAGGTTGGCAGATTCCGTTCCTCAGTCCTACGCCCCTTGGCCCCTCTGTCCAGGTGGTCGCGGTGCTCCATTTGGTCTAGGTAGGCGACCTTCTGTTGACGGAGTCGTTGCCTCCTCTTTGTAGACTCAAAGTAGTTTTGTGTCAAGGTTTGGAAATAGGTGTGTGTGTGTGTGTGTGTGTGTGTGTGTGTGTTTTAAAGTTACAACTTTTCTATTTCTACAAATTCAAAACATTTTGGCCCAATTCAACTATAAACGTTAAATCACATGTTTTCAATAGATGACTTCATAGACTGTGGCCTTCTTATCCCCTGAGCCAGTGACTATGTATTTATCATCCACAGAGATGTCACAGCTGAGCACTGACGAGGACTCTTTGGACTGGAAGAGAAAACAATGGGCAAGTGTTTAATGTGGAACTTGGGTACAAAGGGGCCCTGCTCCCCCCATGGTTCCTTCACTTCTGGTTTCACAGGTGACGCTGTTGTCGAATTGCCATTCTACTAGGTAAGGAGTTTTTACATACCTGGAATATACTGGCTCCATAGGGGGTTCGCCAAGCATTGAGGAGGTTATCTTTTCCAGTACTCACAAACCACTTACCTAGAATTAACAAAAAACACGTAGTTTTTAACAAAATTAAAATTCCTATAATAGTGTTGGCACCTTGAACTTAATCAAACAGAGCACTGCTATTGCATGAATAATCATATCCAAAGAATTGGTCTATGACCTGAGAAGAGGTTTTAAATCTGGGCTCCCCAGTGAATTATCTGTATGATCCCAGTAGAAGAGGGGTGACAACCTCATTAGTCACTGGACACGACTTGTACGACCATATTCAACACATAGTAGCCCCTCAAATATTGAATCAGTGAAGTTGTTTCACTTTGGACAGTCTCCTCATGAATAAATGGGATTGCAAAGAATTAAATATTGAATTTAATAGGGCACAGTGGCACACTTCTATAATCCTAGTGACCTGGAAGGCCGAGGCAGGAGATTGCAAATTCAAGACCAGCCTCAACCACTCAATAAGGCCCCAAGCAACTCAGCAAAACCCTGTCTCAAAATTTAAAATAAAACAGATCTGGGGGCTGGGGATGTGCCTCAAGCGGTAGCGCTCTCGCCTGGCATGCGTGCGGCCCAGGTTTGATCCTCAGCACCACATACAAACAAAGATGTTGTGTCTGCTTAAAACTAAAAAATAAATATTAAATTTTTCTCTCTCTCTCTTTCCAAAGAAAAAAAAAACCAGATCTGGGTATGAGTCTCAGCAGTCATGAGACCCTGGGTTCAACTCCCAATACTGCCTAACACCCTGCCCCAAATGTTGAACTTTTGTAAAATGCCAATCATGTTATATAGCATATAGATTGTGCTCAATGAATGTCAGCTAACTAATCCCTTTATCCTTTCACCTATCCACCCAGAGCACAAGTACAGTCTCCACATGAACTTTTCTCCTAGCTGTAACATGGAAGAATGAAGGTATAGCTAAAAATCCCCCCTTTTTTAACCCTGGGTTCCTCATCTTGGCCAGTTCACAATGACTTCCACTGTTCCTGACCGATTCTTCTAAAGATTCCTGCCTGCCCTTCTGCATGCAGAGTGGTAACAATTGCCCCACACCCCCACTCAAAACAAGTATGTGTCCAAACCTTGTATTAGGCAATTTCATCTCCTGCTGACTTTTCTCAAATTAGCAAAACAGACTGAAACAGACATTACCATGCTTGGAGGAACATATTAAAACAATAGAATTATTGCATCCAGCTGCTCGGAGAACAACATTTTTTCCAGATAGGATCTCTAACCAGATTTTTTTTAGAAGTATTTTCCATTTAGGCCATCAATGACCTCCAGTTTCCTTTCAGTGGAACTCACCACAATAAGCAAATTTGAGGGACAGCACACAGCTCTCGTGGAGATGCAGCTGGTACTTGTCAGGCTTGTTCACATGCAGCACTTCCACGTTGCTGCTCTCCATGCCCACAGCTAGCCACTCCCCAGTTGGGCAGTATCCCAGGGAGAAGATCTGTAAGAAGCAGAACAGGGTCACTGATTATTTTGCTCAATAAACTTAGGAAGTGAAAAGGCAATCAGAAAGGCGGGTGGGGGGAGCAGGAGTAAGGACGAGAGGGGATCAGCCAAATCCAGACTGTGGGAAAGTGGACAAGGACAAGAGACCCAGCCCAGACAAACCAAGTGTCAAAAACTTTCATGGAACAGCTGGAAAACTTTGAACACTTCCCTCATACGTGATGAAATTAAGGAATTATTCTTAATAATAGTGGCATCTGTTTGTGTGTTTTAAAGCCATCCTTATCTTTTTAGAGTCACTGACGGAAATACTCAGGGATAAAATGACATCTAGAATTTACTGTGCTTGGGGTGAGGATGACAGAGTGACAAGACTGGCCATGAAATGATAACCACCAAAGCTGAAGGATAAGCATAAACAAACAGTACTCTGTATTTTCAGATACATTTGAACACTTTATATATTTGTATAAATTTGAAAATTTCCATAATCTTTTTTTAAAAAAGGAGAAGCCAAAAATAATATCCTACTTATTAGGATATAAGGAAAGGGTACCATAGGGAAGAGTATGAAAAAAAAAATCAACAAAATGTTAATAGAAACATAAAATGTGTTAGGAGTCCTATTTTTCTGGGCTGCATTATTTTAATGCCAAAAAAGGGTCTGAAAGTGCCAAGTAATGATCAAAAGAACAATTCTACCAGCAGAAAGCACTTAAAATGGCAAGCACACTCTTAACCCAAAACAATTCTAAAGCCAGACACTCAAAAAACTACTTTCCACAATCCACAAAGTTGCCATTTTTATATTATTTCAAAACTCTATAAATCTAGCTGGCCATGAGTCCAGTTTTCATAGGATAAGTAATAAGATGGGCATCCACTGAGATAATGCTGCAATTTTTTTTTTTTTTTATAAAGTACTGGGGATTGAACCAATGGGCACTTAACCACTCAGCTACATCTCTCCAGCCTTTTTTATTCGAGGACAAGGTTTTACTAAGTTGCCAGCTGGCCTTGAACTTGAGATTCTCCTTCCTCAGGTTCCTGAGTTGGCGGAATTACAGGCATGTGCCACTGTGCCTGGCCTACTACACTTTTTAAGGCTCCTTGATGCAGGGCAGATGAATGAACTTTCAGAGCTGTTGTGACTTTCCCTACCCTGAATATTCTTCCAGCTCTATTTAAATGAGAACCAAATAATCATCTCTCACTCCACATTAGATGGTAAGACTAGGGAGCACACACACACACCAGCAGAGCTGGATATAGTCTTCACTGTATGAATTCCCTAAACAAACACATCTGGAAATAAAGCAGTTCCACAGGATTTTAGAAGCCACTTGAGGAGTTCCAGGGGGCTTTTGTTTGTTTATTTGAATCAGTTCTCTCAGATTTAACCCTGATCTGTTTGTCCTACTGCCATCATCCTGGGGTGGGAAGGATGTCCCACACAGGCCACCTCAGAGATTCCAGGGCAAGCGAAAGCCAGTCGTCACCTGTGAGGTGAAGTCATGCTGCTGCAGCTGCCGCCCCTCGCGCAGGTCCCAGGACCTGACTGTGTTGTCCAAACCGCCCGTCCAGAGCTTGGTGCCATCGTTAGATATATCAATACAGCTGGCTCCGTCTGTGTGGCCCTGGAATTGCCTGATAAAACAAACCAGATTGAATAATGATTTCCTGCCAGAGCTCAAGGTAAACACTGTTGTGTTGTTAGTTTTGGACTCTCTGTATGTCATCTCGTCAGTGTCTGCTGATGTGTAAGATCAAACTAACCTTCCCCTGAGGAGGAAAGGAAACAGCACCTGCAGATTTTATTTTCTTTTTTCACAATCCAAGGGCTAAACAAATGCACTGCCATTGGAGGTTGCTACCCAGAAGTCAAATATGCTACTATGGCTTCTTTGATGAAGTCTGTCTAGAAGAGAAAACTCCTCCCAGCTCTGGAAAGTGTTTAAGTGTTAAAAGAAAACAAAGGACAAACACACAAAATCTCAAGTGTATGCCTTAAGGAAAGATTAAGGTACTGTACTTCAGTGGTGAAACTTGAATCCAGGAAAGTGGCTACCTTGTAAGCACTGGGACAGAAGTATTCTCATTCAATGAGCAAATAAACATGGCAATGCCCTTCCTCCCAGCAAACCATGAGATCACCTGTTTGCTCAACCTTGCTTTCTGAATTAAAAAGAGCCCTGTGTTAGGAAATCTGGACTCCCAGAGACAAAGGGTCATGCTGGCGTCCTGACCGCGGAGGCACAGGGCAGAGACCAAAATAATTACGGAGGCAGATTGGTGGACACTTTGGTAAGACCTTGTCTTCAAGCTGAGCACAAGGTTTTTCATGACAGGAAAATCTCATACAGCATTCAAAAAGCACCACCAAAACCAACTAGGAAAGGGATTTGCTGAGCACAAGTGGCATACAAGGCAACAGGTGGGACCTGCTATGGGGAGGTCACCAAGGCTGGTGGTCCATGATGGTGACTATCAGGGACTTGGTTCTGCATGCTGAGAGGGAGTTGGCAGAAGTGGCCAGGACAGATCACGATCCACCTTCAGAACCTGGCAAGACCTGACAAAGAAGTGCTTGGGAATTCTGACATTCAGAAGGTTTCCATGCCTTTTCTTCCTCTAGGATGCAAACCTAATTATTCCCACCGAGCTACAAATTCTTTTTTTGGGGGGATGGGGTGGGCGGGGGGGGGGTGCGGTACTGAGTATTGAATCCAGGAGCATTCTACCAGTGAGCTACATCCCCAGTCCTTTTTATTTTGAGATAGGGCCTCACTAAGTAGCTGTGGCTGACCTTGAACTTGCAATCTTCTTGCCTCCGCTTCTCAAATTGCTGGGATTACAGGTGTATGCTACTGCACCCACTCAGAGGTCCAAACTTTTAAGATGAGCTTGGAATTTGAAAGAGTATAAGGGAAGGAAAAATTACCACTGTTGCCCTGAGCCAAGACGAGAACCATTATTTCAAAAAATTTACCCTCTATAAGCTATTCTGAATGTCTACACTTGTCCCAGGACCTCTTTTCCCACATGCCCCAAATCTTTCCCCCACTGTAGCCAGGCACAGCATCCCAACCAGGCCAGTACTCCTCCAAGTCCCCCCTACAAGTCCCCCAGGCACTGCCTTGCCTGTGTTTCTTTCCTTCAAACTGTTTTGGCAATTCAGGGATTCCCTCTTCCCTCCAGTCTGACTTCTTTTCATCTCTTCAACTCAGCAAATGTTTAATCCTTCACCCTAAATATCACTCTCTATCAACTCACAGCCCCCAATGGATGTTCCTCCATCCTACCACCCTCCAAGAGAATATCTCCACATTACTCCCAAGCTACCAGACCAAAAGGCAGAACGTGCAGGGTCACAGGCGCACAAAGATTCTTCATTGCCCTGTCACACACAGCAGTCACATGCAGTCAGTCTAAATTGAGAAAGAGATGTGTCGAGCCCTACCCTCTTACATCTAATAGGCACTGACTTCAAGAGAGCCAGCACAGAGCAGGGGTTCTGGGCACAGACAGGAGAGCAGGATGTCTGGGCTCCAATTTCAGCTCTTCCATATCTGACTGTGTGACCCATGACAAATAACTCTGTACATCAGGTTTTTCATCTACAAAATGTGGAGAATAGCAGTGCAGATGTTATGAGAACTAAATGGGCTAATATCTGAAAAGTGCTTATAATCTGAATTTGGGAGGGAGGGAGAAAAGGAGGAAGGAAAAAAAAATTTAAACCAAGTAACTGTAGCTAGGCTAAAAGGGGCTTTGGGCTCCAGCTCCACAAGTCCATTTTGCTCACTCTGCACTATGTCACAAATGTCATTCGCATGCAGAGACAAAGCTGGGCTTGGTGACACTGGGTTTCTACAAGAAGGTTTAAAGAAAGAGTGCGCTGCTTCGATGATGTCTCTGGGTCATCCCTTTTCTGTGCACACACACAACCAAAAGCATTAGAGGGGGCCAGCCTAATGAGCCACAGGCCTCAAACCACAGCATGAACAAGATGGTTTCTGAGCACAGATAAAATGTGGCAAAAAGCCAAGCACACCCGGATTTCTACCATTGATGTTTTGTTAGTGCTTTACTTTTAGAAGACTTTCCCGTAATGCTTCTATGTGAGCCCCAGCCAGGGCAGCCGAGCCACAGCAGTTGCCAGGGTGAGGAGGGCAGATTCCAGGAAGCAAGCAGAGCCCTGTTCACTCCTGAGTGGTACGACTCCTAAACGAGTCTTTTATTTACTTATTGAGAAACATGGATATTTTAAAACCATTTTGTGGATTCAATTCATGGACTCTCCTTTTTTCCTCTCTGATGTCTTTTTGTTGACTTTTTTTTTGTTTTTGGTTATCTTATCAGTTGACTTCTGTTTGCATAAACAAGGTTCTAGACAAGGCCAGAAACATCTAGAATTGAGAGCCCTTCATGCTTCTATGTAATTCATGTTATGCTATTATACCACCCCTTGGCAAAAGCTAAACTTGGCTTCTGTATGCCCACTGAAGAATAGGAACAAAAAAGGGATGAAGTCCTGGTCATCGTCCAGCACAGCACCAGGACCCAAAGTTCCCCGGAGCACCTAGCTTCACACCTGGCACACAGTAGGCTCTTCACAGATGGACTGCTGCCTGGGGGCAGCCAGAGAAGCAGAGGCGCAGAGGGGCCTTCTCCTGAGGCTATCCACTCCTCCCTGAGGAAACCGCTGGTGCTCACCTCACAAGTGTCTGGTTGTGTAGGTCCCACACGGCGATGTTGCCATCACTGCAGCATGAGAAGCAGACCTTGGAGTCAGGGCTGATGGCCAGGGCATAGCAGGCAGGGGCCGAGGATGTCAACTCTGCCTTGATGCGAGGGGTTGGAGCAGCCAGGTCCCAAATGGAAAGAGTGCTGGCTTCCCCTCCCACAATGAGAGTGCAGCCATCAGGGAGCAATTTACACGAACGGATATAATTATCTCTATTCTGTGAAATAAACATAATTCAATTGCTATGATGCATTACCAGGCAATAACAGTGCCGCGTTCGTTCACTAACTGCTATCATGGGTTTTGACTTCAGAGTGGCATTTCACAGACTCCCATTTCTATAGTAAATATAAGGGCCCAACTGCCACTGTCCCCTTCCAAACAAATTCATAGGCTTGCCCAGTCATGTGTGATGTCAGATCACTGTTCCTGACTCCCTGCCTCAGAAAGCCCTGAAAGTAACCAGGTGGTAAGGCAGGTCTACATGCACTGCTACACCCAGAAACCACTTTTGAATCGGGTCAATCAATCATTTACCTCTTCCCCTCTGTTTGGAAAAAAAAATGCAGACCCACTGTGCATGTTCTGGTTTCCATTATTCTTAACTATATCTTTCTTAGTCAGAGGATCTTAAAAATGTAACAGCTGCTTTCTCTGATTGTAACATAGCTTGCTATCCATGTGTGAGCCCCTCAATCCAAAAGCCCAGGAAATCAGTCCAAGAAGGCATCATGCCATCAACCCAACATGTATAAAAAAGGGCCTAATATGACCCACCTCTGGAACCTCAATGGATGTGCTGTCCTCCAACTTGAATCCCAATGGATATGCTTAAAAGTGGTCTGTCTTTCAAAGATCAGAGAAACTTTAAGCACCAACTTTAAAAGAGAATAACTCCTACTACTACAGAGTATGTTGAAGTGTAAGTTTCATTAAAGGAGGTCTTTGTCTTAAAAATTTTCTTGGTGTATTATAATTACACATACTAGTGGAATTCAGTGCGATATATATGTACACGCATGTGACATCATTTGGTCAATTTCATGCCCTGAAATTAACCTAAATGTTCCCACTCCTCCTCCCTCCACAGGAGATATTTTTACATTGTTTGATTTAAAAAATACAGTAATAACTACCCCAAGTCTGTGTATCTCCAAAACACTGCCACTCTGCTTTTTGGAAACACTGGCTCTGGAATGCTTACACTCTTCCAGTCAGGTAGGGAGTGGGTAAACTGAGCCATCTGAGATGGTGGAAGGCAGGTTGACATCATCCTGGATGGGCAAAGCAGGGCAGCCTAGTTGACAGTGTGCGTAAGGGCAATGGTATAAAAATAAGGTCTGTAAATCCTTGGGTGACACTTTAGAGACCAGAATATGTCCTAGAGTGTCTATGTCCCAGAAAAATGCAAACTGGCATCCTCAGACGCTGGCTTATGTGCCCTGTAAAAATGTTCCTATTGCTCCTGTTTGACTGACACCCTGATCCCCTGCAGTGTCTCCCTCAGCCCTTTCCCGAACTTAAGGGAGTGAAACCAAACCAGCTCTCCAGCTCTCCCTAACAACACAGACCCTGTTCAGAATGGCTTTCATGCCACATTATCCAATGTTTACTATTCAATATTTATTTGAAGGCTGTAGGGAAATTAAAAGTGGAATGGATTGCAGGGATCAGAGTCCAGGCCTCACTGTGTTTTCTTGCACTCACTGGAAAACCCCCCCTTTATAATACACAGCTACACAAGGACAGCTTTCTGCAAACCACTGTAAAATATTTTAAAAAAGAAATCCATCAACACTGGGCTCTAACCACAGCAACAGCAACAAATGAAACCTTCACTTTTAAGGGAGGGGTGGGGGGTTATGCAGCTAACACAGGAAACAGAAGGGGCTTCCATTTCCTCCTAATGGGAATAAAACCCAGGCCTGGACAGCGATTTCCTTATTGAGTCTCGGGGGAGAAATTACCCTTGTGCACCAGTTCCTGCTCACTCACCAGACAGTCAAGCTGAGAGACAGGGCTCTTGTTGCCAGGGTGGCTGATGTCCCAGACCTTGACACAGCCCTTGCCGCCGGTGTACACGTGCCTCGTGGGGTTGCTGATGGTCACTGCACACACCACCTCACCATGGTTAAGTGTGTTGATCTGGCGAGCGTGTCGGGGGATTCCAGGTCCAATAAGGGCATCGGGAGGAAAGGGCACAGGCTGCATCTGACCATCTGCAGTGACGTGGAAGGAGTAGGCACTTTTGGAGAGGGGAGAATTGGAGAGAAGAGAGAAAACACATGACCCCGGCTCTGCTCTAGAAGGAAGGCAACAAACAGCAAAGCTTCCCTTGGGATGGTTCCCCTTTTGAAATCAATTCCAGTTGAAGCCCTTACTGATGGAACACATCTAAAATAAATGATAGCTGGAATCTAGGACGTGCCAAAAGAAATTTCTCTTGAACTCTATTTAAAAAAAAAAAAATTGAAGACTAAAAAACTGTGTTTACCCATTCTATAAAGCATTCTGTCAAATTACATTATAAAACAATGTGCTTCCAAATTAGCATAAAACATCCCCTCCCATGTATCTCATATAATTGTATGATTTCTTAGTATGATTTAAAATGATCATTTTCAGGGTTTAAAACGAAGCCCTTAAGAACTCATAACTACACAGTAAAGTCGTGTATTTCAATGCTAATGAACAACAACAACAACAAAACAACTTTTAAAACACACTCATTTAAAGCTGAGGCTCAAACTATTTCTAAATAACCAAAAAGAGATTCTCTTACATCAAGTGGCTCTGTGACGAGAGATTTACTTAAATAATTTTTTTAAAGTGGGTCTTGCTATGTTACCCAGGCTGGTCTCTAAACTGCTGGGCTCAGTGGGATCATGGCACATGCCACTGCTCCCAGTAAGACTTTTGTTTCGTTTGTTTTAAAGACTTATGTGCGATAGAGATTTTAGGTTTCCTATTTAACAATCTCCCTTGCCCACCTTCATCACTAACCCGTTTAGCCTCAGGCAGCAGAGCTCCCAGCTAAGACTGTTCTTCCCAGCTCTGCTCTGGCCAGGTAGTGCCCATATCTGGACCAATGAGGTGTGGGCAGAAGCTGCTGGGTGTCATTTCACCTGAGTTTTTCATTTGAAATACAGGTGAGAGAAGGCCATAAAGGAACTCTGTGCTTTCTGCTCAATTTTGCTGTGAACCTAAAATTACTATTCTAAAAACCAAAGTTTATCAATTTTTTAAAAGTAAAGAAAAAAGAAGTAAAGAGAGCAACAGCAACAAATGAAACCTTCACTTTTAAGGGAGTTGGTCTCTTCTCTTGTTCCTTCCCATTGCCTGAACTACAAGCAAGATGACTGGAGTTCCTGCAGTCTTTTGGGACCACAAGGTCTCTTTGAAGATGGAAATTAACTGCTAAGGGAGGGAGAACAGAAAGATAGATGCAGAGACCCTGTTAAACCATGGGGCTCTGATACCTGCCTTGGACTGCTGGTAGTGTCTTTTACAGGAAAGAGAAAGAAATAATTTCTATATTACTTAAGCTACAAGGTTGTTTTTTCCCCCATTACAAACAAATGAACTGAATCCTAGTTGCACATTTCTATTTCCATGCCAAGAGTTAAATTATTATTTAAGCTCCAAGAAAAGAAAATATTATGGACATTATAAAACATGCACAAAAACAGGAGAGAGGATGGTAGAAAAAAGAAGTGTTTTAACTCCACCTCCCAATGGATAGAATTCTGCATACCCCAGGTGAACATTACAACTTTCCTTGTCTTATCTGACGCATTACCAGGACAGCTAGAAGTTCAAACAATAAACACTAAATGGAGTATGTACAATCTCCTCCTTCTCACAACCCCACTGGTTAGGCCTAGGTCCTTTCTGGAACTTGTCATTGACACCTTTATATATGTAAACATGAGTATTAATGCAGAGCTTAAATTTTCATTATTTATTTATTTATTAAATACATGACAATAGTGGAATACATTACACTCATTAAAATTTTCATTTTAATACTAACTCAAATTCTGTCCTATAAATTAGCAGGTACAAAATTGAAAATTGATATATAAAATATCAAGTCTCCACTTGCCTAAGCTTTAAACCCACATACTTTTCCTTGGAAATAAAATGCAGGCTATTATATTCCCTTTATAAAAGCAAAATATCACATACATGGACTTTAATATTCTTCAAAAAACACAATCTTTTATATCTGTTATCTCCTGGAAAACTGGTTCCAATAACTCACTCTTGGTTTGAAAAATTAGCACATATCATGGAAACCATGTATAATATTCTGAGAAATAATTATGCATATAAAACAATATACCTCAAAGCCTGAATCACTGAATCATTACATCCTTTTTTTTTTTTTGTACTGTGCATTGAACTCAGGGTGTCATGTGTACTACTCAAGCACTCTGCCATTGAGTTACATATCCAGCCCTTTTACTTTGAGACGGGGTCTCACTAGGTTACCCAGGCTGCTCTCAAACTTGCTATTCTTCTGCCTCAGCCTCCAGAGTTGCTAGGATTATAGGCGTGCACCACCATGGCAGGCTAAATCTCATGTTTTTATCCAGCAGGATTCTTTGATTGTCTTAGCAATATACAAAGTTCACATGACATTTCAATATATGAATATTACAGTTAAATGAATGGGTAGCTATTACACTTAGTATGGGAATTATATCAATCCTATTCCTACAAGAATTTTGGACTCCCGATAGCTCTAGAAGAGTGAAGTCCAGTGGCTAGCTCTATGACCAGATATCAGGCACCATGACCAGGGTACAAAAGTGACAAACTTTCTAGGTGATGCTGAAGAAATGACAAGTGAGATTCTACAAAATAAAACAACTGGGTTGTATATATAGCTAAGGAGGAGAAAGGAGCTTCTTCTGAAAGTCCCCTTGCTATGACAGCAATGGCACAGGTGGAGGTAGGTCCTGCTTTCTGTGCACCATCAGTTAAGGTGGGCACCAACTTCCCATCAGATGCCCCTTCAGTAATCCCAGATTTTCAGGGGAAGAAAATTTTATCTTACTTCAACTGGAACCCTGCTTATTATAGAATTGAATGTTCCAGATTAAAATAGATGCACGAAGTACAGACGGGAGATCTGTATGCTGGTCTTTGGAAGACACCCACTTCTCTCCCAGGTGTCCTCTTCTTTAAACTGCACAGGAGGTCTGCGATCATCATACTGAGGCAATTTAAAATTGATTCACAGTGCAGCGAACTGCTGCCAGAAGCTGTGAACATTTGTCTGTCCCAGGGGAAACCCATATGGATGTTAATACATCAGTCAAGGGGGGCCTCTGAGGAAGCAGGCAGCACCCGCTGTGCTGGGGAGCCGCATCGAATGAACAAACCAGAACAAAGCAAAGGGCTGATGGTCTCAAGGAGAAATCCAGCGGAAGGAAAAGAAGTGGGGTGAATCAGATGTAGGCATCACTTATTCACCTACAAAAATAACAGGAACCTCCTCAGAGACCATATTAATGGCACATTATGACAATGCTAAAGAAGTCTGAAAAGGAAACTTCTCTATTGGTTGATGAATTATAAAAAGTAAAAACAATCAAGGAAGGGAATCTATAAAGAGATAGGGGTAAGTCATCCCCTTTATTCATGGAGGGTACATTTTCAAACCCCTGGAGGATGCCTGAAATCAGAGAGCACAGAACTCTATATACTTACTGTGCTTTTTTCACCTGTACATACATACCTATGGTAAAGTTTAATATTCAAAAGAGGCATATTGGGATTAATAAAATTAATAATAAAATCAAATGATTATAGCAATGCATGCCGATATACGTTATGAGAATGTGATCTTTCTCAAGATTTTTTACTTTTTGCCTTTCCACATAGAGGAAACACTTCACAGCTTTTCTTTAGTATATCTGAATTGCCAGCATTGCTACTCTTGTGCCTTGGGTCCTCTAGTAAGTCTAATAAAGGTTACCTTAACACAAGCACTGCAGTGCTATAACAATTGATCTGATAACTACGGTAGTTAGTTATCAGATAACTACGGCAGTTATCAGATCAATTGTTATAGGGCAGGTAGCATATACAGTGTGGACACACCATGCAAGGGGATGATTCACATTCCAGGCAGGATGGAGTAGCACAGTGTGAGATTTTATCACACTACTCAGAAATGCACACAATTTAAAGCTTGTGAATTATAGTGGGTGCAGAGGTGCACACCTGTAATCCCAGCAACACATGAGGCTGAGGCAGAAGGAGTCCAAGTTCAAGCCCAGAATCTTTTAGTGATACCCTGCTTTAAAACTAAAAAATAAAAAGGGCTGGGGATGTGGCTCAGTGGTACAACACCTCTGGGTTTAATCCCCAGGACTAACACACACACACAGAGTAAATTGTTTATTTCTGGACTTCTGCTTAATACTTTCAGACTGCACTTGACCATGGGTAACTGAAACCATGAGTAAGAAAACTACAGATAAGGGTGAACTATAGTATTTATAAATATCCCTCAAACCTGAATTCAGAATGAGTCCAAACACAAAAGACTACACATGGAATGACTGCATTTACACAAATTCAGACACCAGCAAAGTCATCAGTGATATTGAAGGTCAGGGTGGGGGTTACTGTTGGTGACGTGAAGGGAAACATGAAGGCTTTAGGATCCCTGATCCAGGGCTGGTTCCATGGGTGGGAGCCCTTAGTTAAAAGCAGCTGAGCTATACATACATGATACACACATCGTATCTCAATTCTTAAAATTTAGATTCGTTTATTTATTCATGACAAAGCGGAGAAAAGGCCCCTAACCTGTCAGCCATTAGATTAGGTCCACAGCCAAGTTGACAGCCTAGCCTTTGGCATTCAGTGGACCTCACATGCAGAGCTCTGGGTTCCCGAAAGCACCAACTGTGGATTTACTACCTGGACAGCCTGCAGACCGTGTGTCCATTTCCTGATCTATAACACAGGAATAATAAAATGTAAGAGTTGCCTTATAGTAAAGTATAAAGTTATTAAAAGGATTAAAGAGATGCCATCTGTGAAACACTTAACAGAGCACTGGACACGTGCAGCGTCATTACTAAACCATGACTTTAACAAAAGGAAAGTGGGCTGTGTTGAATCAAGGCAAATGTGCGCCAGTGGGCAAATGTGAGCATCAGGGTGCTAAAGGGGAGGAAGATGCAGAGTGGGAATCGGGAAAGCAGATGAAGGGACAAGGAAAAT